GGAGGTTTTGTCTGTAGATCCCCCGCCCCCAAGGCACGGGGATAGGGGAAGCAGGTGGGGGCGGCCCGGGGGGGGGAGAGAGGAGGAGGCTGCGGCGGCTGGTCTTTGCTTAGTTAAGCTCAGACTGCCGCAGGAGTTTCCCGCCGCCGGACTGGGATCGTGTCCCTCCCTTCCCACCTTCTCCAGCCCGTCATCCAACTCCAAGGTGGGCAGGGGGAAAAGCGGGGCGATTTAGGTTCCCCCGATCTGAGATGGACCCAAGGAGACCATCAGATGGATCTTTCCAATTCTTTTCGCCTCCACGCATTGATCCCCCTCCTCCTTCCTCCCCCTCCTCCCATTTCTTTTTGTCTGCCACCGTCTCCGGAGTGCAGCCGAGCAACTGTGTGTGAGAGAGAGCAGAGGGAGGGCGGGCGAGGGAATAGAGCAGGATGGATCCCGAACCTCTTTAGTCATTCCCCCCCGCTCCCCAATTCTCTGTTATGGAGCCCTTCAGATATGTCTTTGAATCCAGGGGTTTCCCCAACCAGTTTGGCTTGCCGGGGAAACCTTACCAGGGCTTGAAAGAGTTAACCTGGGGATAGCCTCCAGGAAGTGAGGAGAAAGAGGAGTACAGTACAGTGTTCCTTACAAGGTCTTTTAATCCGGATTAATTAAACAGTAATAACTGACCCCTATCAAACTTAGTCGCAGGCAGACTTTACAACTTCTCATCTATTTAAGCATATAAATCATAATGATTGTGGGCTCCCAAGTCCAGTTAAAGCTGCTAAGAAACTGCCATTCCCATTGAATGGTCTTCAAGATAAGGCCTGGGCTGTACTGTAGGTTTCTCTCTGTGTAAAGCTTTGTAACTCCCCCCCGCCCAACGAAGCTGTATGTGTGTTAAGCTTACTTATCAATTTCTTACCTACATGTCTCACTTTTCCTTCGATAGGCTCCAGGAAAGTATAGGGTTCACATTGCTCCATGATTCCTTCACAACAGCCCTCTGGGGTTGTTTGTCTGGGGGGGAGAATAACCTGCCAAAAGTTACCCAGTGAGTGTTAACCAATGACAGCATCACAGCGGCTCTCCGGGCGTATTTAGGGGTGGAGGTGGTTGTTGTGGTTTTGGTATGTTTATGTCCCGCCTCTCTTGGATGAGCTCAGGGTGGCACACACTATAGTGCCCCTTCTCCTCCTCTTGGCTTAATCGCGACAGGAGCCCTGCGAGGTCAGGCTGAAAGAGCCTGACTGGCCAAAGGTCATCCAAGGGGTTTAACCACCAAGTTTTGATTTGAACCCAGGTCTCCTGTGTGCTAATTCAACCTGTGAACCAATATACCACACAGACTCCTAGCCCTATCCCATTGCATTCCAGTAAAAGTAACGTTAAAAACTCAGCCGGAAACCCTGTAAACTTGGAGGGATCCAGAAAGCATACTCTGGCCAATGGGTTTTTAGGATTTTGACATTCAGGAAATGCTGTTCACTTTAGTCTGTCTGCTAAAGAACATTCAGTGGGCAAGGCTGGCTTCAGGATCGGGAGGGCTATAAGGCAAAATGCCCCCCAATTCATATGCCTTGCATGTAGGCAGCAAGGCCAGCCCAAGACATTTTGCTACCTGAGGCAGAGCAGCAAATGCCACACCCAGCCAGTCACCTAAATCAAGAAACCCAAACAACCAATGTTGTGGTTTGGGCAGAAAATATAAAAATCCCACAAATGGGCAAAATGTAATAATAAAAAATGAAATCAACGCCTGAAACAGGACTTTGTGCCAACCCTGCTAATAAATAGTTTTCGGCAAGCAATTTAAATGCCCTAATCAGGAATTCTAGGCCTTCGAGCAGCATGAGGGGAGTATCGCAGAGGGGTGCTTTCATTGGCTCCCCGCACCCTTATCACAGCATTGTATCCTGCCTGTGTCATTCCCCATAGGTTGGAAGATGTAAGTCTACAGCCCAGGAAAAGGTCTATACATCTGTGTTCTCTGTGGGGTGGAGGGCCCCTGGCGTGATCTGGGTTTTATGTGGTGAGTGGAGAACCTGCACAAGCAGAGCAAGAGGCACCCCAAAATGGACAAAAGGTGGAGAGCAGCAGGACCAGGCAAGAAGAGCGTGACATAAGAGGAGGGGGCCAGCAATCCTGTCCCTATAAGGCCTAGGATGCCTAAATAGGACTTTTGCTTGTCGACACTGCTTTTATTAGTCCTTCCCTTCTGTGTAATTACAAGTGGTGCAGGAATAATGGCATTTGAGGTCGTGTTCAGGGAACAACTGTTCAAAAGTATCAGGACACCTTGTACCCGATTTTAAAAGTCCTTCTTTATGATGGCTCCATCATCAGCTTTTGCTTACACCATGATTTAAATCTTATTTATTCTTAAGAAGGCTTTTCTTGACTAGAGATACGATTTTTTTAAAAAAAGCCTTACCAGCAGATAGCTTGATTCAAGTTGGTCTTTCCTGTACTCTGCAGATGCCAGTGGAAACTGGTTTGTAAGAGCACAGGGGCCACTGTTGCACCCCTTGTCTGGGCAACCCCAGTCATCCCACTGCTGATTGCCTCCTTTCCAAAGGCAGCCAAGCTCCCACCTTTGCCTGCTTTGTGTATGTGTGAATCCTTGCCTCTCTGGATCTTTATTATGAAGACACACTCTTGTCCCTGGCTGTGCCTGTCACCCCTTAGTCCACCAACCTGTGCTATGCCTTCTTCCCTACCAACCACAATGAGCACCAACTGCCACTGAAAAGCCCCTTCTGGCAGTGATTCTACTGTCTGATGGGTACAAGTGAGACCCCAGGGGTAGGTAAGCTGATTTGGCCAGATGAATGGGGACCGACTGCCTGGCAGCAAAACTGTGTGTTGCATTAAATGTCTGGGCATTGCATGAATGACAATTACTCAACTGTGGTGTCTAAGGCAATTCCCCCATGTCCTGACACCATGGCATTCTAGGTTTCCCATTGCACTGCACATAATGAACAGGAGTAGGAAAGCAGACATGGATACAGATAAGTTTGCTGCACTCATGTAATATCACTTACCGTTTACATGGATATAGTTAAGTTTTCTTACCTAGGCATTATGGCAAGGGAGGAATTGGCTGCACTCATGTAATATCACTTACCGTTTAGGCTTTAAGTTACCATCATGTTGGGGGGGGTGGGCACCTTACAAGAGGTAGGTTAGTTAAGTTTTCTTACCTAGGCATTATGGCAAGGGAGGAATTGGCTGCACTCATGTAATATCACTTACCGTTTAGGCTTTAAGTTACCATCATGTTGGGGGGGGTGGGCACCTTACAAGAGGTAGGTATTACCGTTTGGGCTTTAAGTTACCATCATGTTGGGGAGGGGGGTGGGCACCTTACAAGAGGTAGGTAACTTCCTGGTCTCTAGGTGTTAAGACTACAAATCTCATCTGTTCCTGTCAATGGCCATATACAGTGATGGGTTGTAGTCCCAACTCTTTAGTAGGTACCAGGTTGTACCTCCATATTAGAAGATATGTTTGAGAGACAACATGGGCTTTAAGTTACCATCATGTTGGGGAGGGGGGTGGGCACCTTACAAGAGGTAGGTAACTTCCTGGTCTCTAGGTGTTAAGACTACAAATCTCATCTGTTCCTGTCAATGGCCATATACAGTGATGGGTTGTAGTCCCAACTCTTTAGTAGGTACCAGGTTGTACCTCCATATTAGAAGATATGTTTGAGAGACAACATTCAAAATAAAGCTGATCTTTATGGGAAGAATAATTATAGATTTTCACAAAAGGAGGGAAAGGTAGGTATCCTATATTGTGTCCTTCATTTCTCTTGTCTTCAGAACTTCAATACATTACTTTTGGATTGCAACCCTCAGAATCCCCCAGCTGGTACAAACAGACCCCCCATATGCTAATTGGGGGAAACTTGAAGTTGTAGTCCAAAAAAGTAACTTTCCCAATCTCTGCTCATCTTTCCCTGCTGGCAACAGAGAGCAAGAATCATTACAGGAAAGGAATCCACCAATACAGGCCAAAAGTTACAAGTGAAGCACACGGTGTTCTACATAAGTGCATTCCCCCCACCTCATTTTACAATACACAGGGCTCCAAAAAAATGTGCCATAGATTCTGGGAGTCACAATCCAAAAAGTACTGCATTGGCTGGATAGCTTAGTGGGAAAGGTTGGGAGTTTGATTCCCCGTTGTGCCTTCTGGGAGAAGAGCCAGCCTGTGTAGCCTTGGGCAAGCTGCACAATCCCAGGGCATCCTCAGGAGAATGAAATGGTGAACTACTCCTGAGTATTCTGTATCTAGAAAATCCTGGAAAGGGTCACCATTAGTCGGAACTGAAACTATGTGGTCAGAACCCATCAGGTGGATTTTCTTTCCACTTGATTGTTGGTCACCTCCCTCACTGAAGACAGTTAGGTGGAGAGA